AGAGAGGGAGTTAGCGAGAGAGCAGGAGGGAGATGAGAAAGAGAGAATATGAGAGAGGGATAGAAAAAGTATAGACTGATAGAAAGGAAAAAAGAAAAAGCGAGAGGGTGATACGGAGGGAGAGAGATAAAGTGAGTGAAATGGAAAAAGTTATAGATTGATAGAACGAGATAGTGATAGATACATTGATAGATAGATAAATAAACAGACATAGTGTGTGAAATGGAGAGAAAGAAAGATAGATTGTATAAAGAAGCAGAGAAAAAAGTTTTAATTTTTTTAAACAAGTTAATCAGATAAAATTATTTTAATTCTTACTTTACTAAAATACACGCTTTAAGAGTTTTCCATTTTCCAGATATGTTAAGTAGCTCGTTTAGAAACCAAAAACGTCTTTTTTTAAGGTTTACTTAAAACAAACACGTAATGTACTTTGAATACCAATGTTTTAACGTGTTGAGGACAAAGTTTCTAAAATATTTATTTAGAAATCTATCTCTGATTTCTAAATAAATATCGATTAACGGTCACTAATCACCACACGTTTCTAAAATTATTGTTTTATAAATAATGTTAAACAAAATAATATCCTTTAGACAAAGAAAGGAAGTCTTGTGCAAGGATAAAAGTTTACAATTCATTCTTATTTACAGAATCTAATTTTTAGATAAAACACTAGTTATATACGACTGATAATACATTTTTCGCAAAACGTTAAGAATTTTATTTATTTTTTATTCACCTTTTTTTTGTAAGAAGTTCTGAAAAAGAAGTTATAACGACATAAATTCGTATGGAATATTGAAATTGCAAATTAGGCCACTTAGGAATAAGTAAATGCGGCTTTTTGTCACCAAACATGTCTTGAGATAATCCTTCATAAAACTAGACCGCCTCAATAGTTCTTTCTCATTTAAATAGCCTGAAAATGACCTCAACTTTAGCACTTTCCTACCAAAAGAAAGGAAAAACTTGCCTAAAGACCTAAAATGTTTTATTTATTAATTTACCCGACGTAAAATTGAAAACAAAAAACTTAAAATAATTGGATAAAATCTCACGTGCATAAATAAAACGATTCAGACGATCGGTATTTATTTTTTCAACGTTGTGTTAAGTTGTTAAACAGAAAGGCTGAAATTTGTAGCATACGACACCTTTTTAGGTAAGTGTTGAATCATTAATTTACGATTTACAAGGCTAATAAATCGTAACTGATAGATAATTACTGCATCAAAAGAAACGAAAGAAACGCCAAAGGGGACCTATAGTTCTCCAGGAGAGGTCTTTCGAGACCGAGATTAGCGATCAATCACTAGTCACTTTCAAGATAGTTTTGTACGTTCGCCTTTCAACGCCCAATCACTGGCTGAGAAGCATATTTATCATTGGATCAATGTCGGAGAATTGAATAAAAATACCTCCCTAAAATTATTCAAGTGGATGTGTTCTAAAAACAACCTTGTTATTAATAAGTATATATAATTTTTTTTTTTTAATTTCTTATTTGGACTAAATTTATAAGTGTCTTTTTATTTTAAAAAAAAATAAACTTCCCTCAATATGTCGTTAAACGATTCTGATAAAGGTTTTTAAGACAATACATTTCGGCTAATAACTGGCATATTACAGAGTAATTTGAACACCAATGTCGTTAAAATTTTTACAAATTAAAAAATGTTTATTCCTCTGCCTGGTTTTTCTTTCAATTAACAAAATCTAATAAGTACCAAATCTAATTCAACCTTATGGGCAACAAGTTAAAAAATCTACAAATGTTAATTTTCTAAAAACAGTTTAGAAGTTAGAAAAATTGTTTAAATAAGCTTCTTTTTTCCGGTTTAATAATGCTGCTTAATTTAACGTAATGCACGAACGCAAATTATATAATGGGGCCATAGTTTTAAAATAAAATAATTAAATGTTACAAAAAAATTAAATAAAAAGTACGGATCGTAAAATGTAAAAAAATTAACTTGACTTACAACTGCAAATGAAACAGCGTATTAACGTAAATTAAATTCTTAGATCAAATTTTGGCTACCGTATTGATTCATCCAATAGGTATGATGAAATTGGCGAAATTTATTAAAAATTAAAAAAAGGCACAATTATTTTCAAAATTGAACGATAAAAGAGAGGAAAAATAGGGATATTTTCTTGTAAATTCAGTCAATTTTATATAATCGAAATTAGTAATTTTTCTACATTGTCATGTATTTTTATTTAAAATAGTCAACATTTAAAAAAAAATTGATAATTAATTAATAATAAAGCAAAGAGAAAATGAGAGAGAGAGACATTTACTATTAAATCTGAAATGAAAAATGGTAAAGATCTTTGCCCGAAATTGCTTTTTTTTCTTTTTATAATAACTAAATTTGATGGTCTCTGATCATTCTTTAGTTTATACCTAGTTAAATTTTATTAGTGAAAATCCCAAAACACTGCCAAATAGTTTTTCTTCACATACTTTTTTTCATAGAAGTAATATTGAGTAAAAGGGCTACCATCGTTTTACAAAAATTTGCTTTTTACTCGAAGTCAATGTTAGATCAGGTCAAAAAGAAATCAATTTATAGCCATTTTCATGAGCAATGAAATAACAAAGGTAACTAGGACGGTTTTACTACAGCATAATTCAACTTTTTTTTTAATTTAATGGCTATAATTAATTTACGTTATAAAACATAAAATAACAAAAAAAAATGGTTTTTTTTCACGACAGCTTAATTAAGTTTGTTTCATTGCTTCATGTTTCTATAATTCTGAAAGAATGAAATAACAAAATTGTTTTCACGTCAGTATACTTCCGTTTTTGCCAATTTTAACGGTTATAAATGAGTTATGTTTTGGTTTTAAAAGAGTGAAATGCCAAAAGGAAAAAGAAGAATTTTTTCGATGGTTTATTTCAGTTTTTACTAAATTTTAATGCTTATAAATAATATAAGATATTATTTTGTTATCGATCAACTTTGATTCACACTGGATTTGAGAATTTATTATGTGTGGTGGGTATTAATTCAAGGACTACATACCCAATGAATTCTCAAATCCAGAATAAATAATTTACTTTTTGATTCTAAATCAAGAAATAGTTAAGAGAAAAAATGGGTTTTTAAAGTCAGCATAATTCAGTTTTTGCCAAAATTTATTGTTTTTTAATAATTACCGTTTTGGTTCAAAAAGAATGAAAAAACAAAAGCAAACCGTCTTTCAAGATAGGGTAATTTAGTTATTGCCAATTTTAAAGGTGTACAAAATTTACATTTTGGTTCCAAATAAATCCAAATAAAAGGAAAAGAGGTTTTTTTACAATGCCATAATCGAGTTTTCGTCAAATTTTAAAGATTAAAAATAATTTTCGTTTTGTTCTGAAAGAAAAAAAAACAAAAGGAAAACATCTTTCGCGACAGCATCAATCAGTTTTTGCCAATTTTAATGGTTATAAATTAGTTACGTTTTGGTTTTAAAAGATTAAAATGCCAAAGGGAAAAAGAACAATGTTTACAAAAGTATAATTCAGTTTTTACCAAATTTTAATAGTTAGAATTAAATTACATTTTTGTTCTGCAAGAATGAGATACAAAGAGAAAAAGATTTTTTACGATAGCATAATTTAGTTTCATACAATTTTAATGATTATAAATAGTTTACTTTCCTCCTTACATATATTGGTTGAGTAAAATAAGAAAGCAAAGAGTTAATCAATTGATTTTATATCATATAAAACAAAAATTACGTAATTAAAAATTTATATTCTACACTTTGATAAGAGACAAAGAGGAAAAAAAGTGAGAGTGAAATTGTAAAGTGGTCGGTGAAGAAAAACTATAAAATGTCCGTGGTAAAATCATAAAGGTACATTATTTATATAAAACAATTATCTGCACGGTGCATATGCAGTATATTTTTATAAAGAATTGAAAGAAAAATCCAATTTATATGATCCGATGGATTTAGATATTGACGTGAAACTTGAATAGGAAATTTTTGTAACATGAATAAGATTGATTTTTAAAATATCTTCCTGTCCATTTGAAAATGTTGGCAAGTTGTTCGCAGCACATCTCACATTATTCCAAGGTACTTTTTTCAAGTGCACAGAAGTCCTTGTAGCAAAGGCTGTTATAATAACAATAAACGGATCGCAGGAAAGAAGAAATGTGCGCTGTCGGGCTGGATTGCGTAATCACGTCAAGAAACTATTCAGCTTAATGGTTACTAATCTGGCCAATGTTAAACACGACGCCTTCTCGTCAGCTTGAAATGTAAGACCAACCTTCGTGATTTAGAAAACGCCTGTTATTTAGTTTCGGGAATTTTAGTTTGACTTATCCCTTGTGAATAGGCAGTGTATTTGAATATACAAAAAAAGCCCCAAGGACTGAACCACACCTTCTTCTATTTCATAAAGCGCTTCGCCCATTTTTTTGTTCTTAACGAGGATCGATCGAAAATTAGGCGTGGGCCCGTACGAAATGAGTTCGGGATACGGAATCGCATCGATGAAACTCGTAGAAAATTTTTAGACAACTCGTTAAAGGTGAGATTATTTACATCAAAACGGCCCACGATAACCGGTTACTAGATAGGACTGCGTGGGCAAATGCTGTTTTATGTTACAAAGAACACTTATCCGTTGATCGGGTTCAATGTAATTATGTTAGTTAAATGATTTATAGCGGATTCCAGTTAGTAACTCTTAAATTAGACAATTGTGTGTCAACGGCAACGAGTGTCTTATTATGAAATTAAAGCCCGCATCCCTTCGAACCTCATAACAATTTGTATTATTACGATTAGTTTGTTTAATTATACTATCGAGAAGTCATGGGAATATCTTTCCTATTCGGATACGCTGACAATCTTATAAGACTTATATTTTTTACATTAATTTTTTAAAATTATACAAATAAATTTTATTATTTTTTTGCAAATATATATTTTTTGAAGTTTATACAGTTTATTTAATTTTTTAATAGAAAATAAGGACTTACCCTCCGATAGGCAACGGAAGTGAGGGGTTTGCTAAATTTTGCGACCCGCCGGAATACTGCAAACCGAACAGGAGCAGTATAAACCACATTGCGCTACGGCCCTTATTTTATTCACAGTCGGAGGGAAATGTCGTCAGATTGGCATGCCCGAATGTTCGAAATATGTATATGCGATAGAGGAGAGGTTGTCGAACTGGTAGGGCTAGATGTGATATAGATGAGATCTGCTGCAGGACTCCAGAGCCCACCCTACTCTCCTTACCCCACCACGCTACAATCGGTTCATTTACTAAACTCAACCGCGACCAATCGTTTGTCGGCGGATGGTACGTAAATTTAACGTTACGCCAGGCGCTACCTGTGAAAGAAGAAGAATTTGACAAATTGGTGGGGATTATCTCGATGTATACGAGGGTCAGATAAAATAGACAAAAAAATGCAACACTTACTAAAAGAAATGTCTCAAATTATTTAATTTCCTTTTTTTGCCAGAGATTGCCGCAAAAAAACAAATATTTTTAACTATTTTCTCTCTTTAAATAAATATACACTGACAGGCAAAAAATTCAACCCACTTGTAATATAACTTGATTTGTTATATATTTTTATATATTAATCAAAGTTTCACGTTTTTTAACATTTAATAATTGAGTCTTTGTCTAAAAAAGTAAAAAAAAAAAAAAATTGTTGAGGAAAATGAAAAAGAAAAAACAAGCCGGACAGATTAGATTTGTAATTAATATTTCAATATCGTTTATTTCCTCCTCTTGCCTACTAATTACATCTCGAAGACGCCTCGGCATACTTTCTACCAGTCTGGAAATGTCTCTTTGCCGGGGGTTAGCCAATTCTTCACGAAGAGTACTTTCAAGATCGTGATGTGTATCAGGATGGACGTACTCTTATCCATCTTTTGAGGTTATCCCATAAAATGTTCGATAGGGTTCAAGTCTGGAGAACGGACTGGCCAGGCTCAGACCCTGATGTTATGCTGTTGAAGGAAGGTTTGTACTATGCGAGCGACATGTGGACGGGCATAATTGTACATTAGAATAGGATTGTCGATTTTAATGAGGATAGGCAAATCATGTGCTCCAAAATTTCATCCACATCGCGAGTGGCCGTGAAAGACCCTCCATGAACAACACCAACTCTGTGCGACTCTCTATTGAAATTCCCAGCCAACACCATCATTGAGCTACGTTGAAAGGTTGGCTACAAGCTTCATACCTTTCATTTCGCCTTCTCCATACTTTTTCACACCCATCGACAGATCGTAGAGCAAATCTACGCTCATCTACAAAACGTACAGGAGACCAATAGTCCAAAGCCCAATGTTTGTGTTTTCAAGCAAATGCGAGCCGTGCAACTCTGTCTTCTGGTCAATTCTGTTCCTCTTACGCGTAAAGCCATCACAGTCCATAATGATTTAATCTTCTTCGAGCAGTGCGTTCAGAAATTTGGACACCTCGAACTTACTGGAGTTGATGAATCGCTTGAACAATAATAAGGTGCCGGTTTCGCAAAATTCTCAAAGTCAATGGTGGACCTAGTTCATCGAAAACGTTTAACGGCGTCTCGCAGTGTTTCGGAGGGAACTCCGACGGCAATAGCCGCAGACCTGATGGAACGTGAAACTAAGTGGCATTTTTAAGTTTAATAATTTAAATTAACAAAACAAAGATGAAATCTAAACTGTTTATTGCTTCAGAATTCAAATGAGACTGAATAAACATTTTAAATTCCGTTATTACTTGAACGTAGTTGTAATGTACTACGAATTTAAAAAATTCCGTAAAAAGTAAACATTGAAAAATCGTTTATCCATGCTTTGGATTAAGGATTAACTATGTTTACCTCTAATTGATAATTATCTTTTATCCAGAAAATTTAAAAAAATCAATTGGGTGGAATTTTCTGCCTGTCAGTGTAAATTTAAAAAAAAGTATATTTTGATAATGGATCATACCACTATACATCATAAACTGTTTGCACATTTACATTTTCTGATCGTGTTAACTCGTGTATATTTTAATATAGAACAAGCAGTTATAAGTATAAAACAGAAAAAATTCGTAATTTTAAAATACATTTAATACGATCTGTGAAAACGGTACGACTTACACGGTGTAATAATCCCAACAAATAAATATAAATACTGTTCAATACAAACTCGTCGCTGTCCCACTTCATTTACATATAGAAATGTAAAGTTATTTGCAACAGCTAAACAATGAATTGCCCAGTACTGACAAACCATTTTTTTGTTATTGTTATTTTATTCTTTTAGAATCAAAACGGTTTTCAATGGTAGTATCGTCAACTTTGAGTAAAAAAAGACGTTCAAATAAAGATTAAAATATATAGGATGTCATGGAAAATTATTTACAGAATCAGGGCGGCGGAATCATTTTTACTGTAAATATGGAATGCAGACAAAATGCGGTTTCTCTGTTTCTCTCCCTCACTCTCTCTCTCTCTCTCTCTCTCTCTCTCTNTCAATATATATATATATATATACATATATATATATATATATATATATACCTATCTATCTATCTATCTCGCTTTCAGTATGCCGCCCTCTCATTTAAGAAAAAGTATCTATAAAAAACGTCGAACAGTAAATTGGACTTAGCATGTAGAGACTAATGAATAACCAGAAAATATTTGCTTAAACAAAACGATTTTGTGACGACTGAATCCCAGTACGAGCCAATATCAAATAGAAAAAAAGACAGATTATAATTTGTTTGAAAATACGCTTGATTATTTTTAAATAAAATGAGGGGCGTCGGTGGCCGCGACGTTTAAGGCGTAACAGAAAAGATAGTAAAAATGTTTAAAGAGGTAAATTGTTAAATAGACTATTTATTACAACAAAACACCTGTTATAAACTTCATTAAAACTTAGTAGCATTTGAACAATTTTATACAAACAACGATATAACAACAAATTACGAACTGTAAGAGTATACACCAAATATTTTCCGGTTACTTAAGTAATACTGCTTTTTATTTAAAATTTACTATTTTTCGTGGTCCGCTTGACCAATTAATACAATTCAATTAATTAATGTTTTACGTTGAAATAAAAAGTCAGTGTCACGAGCGGAATTCGAACCCGCGACCTTCGGCTTGATACGCCGCTACTCTACCACTTGAGCTATCTTGACTTCGATCAGCTCGGGCACTAACTTCTCATCTCAACCCCACCTTTTAAATTTTCCCTCCTTTTTGCCATTTTTCAAATGTCGTGTAATCTATTTGATTCTCGGCGACAAATGAAATGGCCAAGGAGAGCTTTAGTGAAGTATACTTCATTTTAATTCATTAAATTCACTATTTTTCGTGGTCCGCTTGACCAATTAATACAATTCAATTAATTAGGGTTTTAAGTTGAGATAAAAAAGTCAGTGTCACGAGTGGGATTGAAAAATGGCAAAAAGGAGGGAAAATTCGAAGGTGGGGTTGAGATGAGAAGTTAGTGCCCGGGCGGATCGGAGTCACGATAGCTCAAGTGGTAGAGTAACGGCGTATCAAGCCGAAGGTCGTGTGTTCGAATCCCGCTCGTGATACTGACTTTTTTATCACAACTTAAAACCTTAATTAATTGAATTCATTTAAAATTTTATTTGTAACATAAAACACTACTATCAAAAAGTCATAAAAGACAATTTCAATTTGATAATAAATTCAATATTGCTACAGTTTATTTTTCTTGATATGTTATCATTTTAAATTGTATATAGGTCAATGCCAATTTAAAAAAACGATAGATGTTGTAGAAAATAATCGTGTGTTTTTGTATGTGTGTGAGTGTATGTGTGTGTTTGTGTGTGTGTGAGAGAGAGTGATTGTTTATATCAATACGGAAAGAATTATCAGTACTCTTTGATACTGAAACATGTCCTGTAACAAAAGAAAAATATGGGCAAAAGGGAAAAATTGCATTGATAAGATGGGGTGTTTAATTGTTATTTTTTAAGTGTTATCTTTTGATTCAACCACAGGCTCGGTATGTCACTGCAATAAAGCATTTTTTTATTCGATTGACTGCTAAATCAAACACACGTGTGATTTTTACTAAATATGCGTTTTTGCTCTGCTGGATTTTTGCTGCACCCCACGTATATATTTGTCAAAATTATAAAATAAATTTGCTACAATGCTTACAACTTTAGATTAATTATTACTTGCTTAAAATACTGGAAGGAGAAGAAATCAAATTAAAATCGCCGTAAGAAAGATTTGTAAAATAAAACCAATATCCAAAAACCATGATTGTTTCAAAGTTGGAATAATATATTAATATTACAAATCAAAGATTGACAATATTTCCAATTTGCAATGATAACGTTAAATAAAATTAATTAAGGTTTTGGTTGAGATGGAAAGTCAGTGTCACAAGCGGGATTCGAACCCACGACCTTCGGCCACTGCTCTACCACTTGAGCTACAGTGACTTCGATCCACTCGGACACTAACTTCCAACCCCACCTTTTGAATTTTCCCTCCTTTTTGACTTTTTTAATCTTACAGCAATGACATAGTATTTATGATACTATATGTTCCAATTGAGAAATCATCAATGTCACAATTATATCTTGTACGTTTACATGAACTATTGTTAAAAATGAAAATATTGAATAGAAGAAACAATGAAAATGTTGTTCCTTTCATCTGTTTTATTAATAATGGCTTACTTTTGAACCAAAGAAATTTATAATTTTTGTCTTTTTTTGCTTTGCATCTCGTAAAATTTTTCTGGTAAGTTAAGCTTGATTAATATAAATATTTAGTCTTACTCCTATAACGAAACCCAAATCTCTATTATTAAATAACGTTTTGCGTTCTTTTAATTTTTTAAATAACTCTTCGTAAATCAATGTCCACAACAAAGGCATGTGAGAAAGGAAAGTAAGGATTACCTTTCACGCGATAACATTTGTTGATACCATCTTCCATCAACTGAATGTTCAATTTTCTTCCGATGTTCTGCACGATATCGATAACATTTTCTTCCTTATGATATGGCACGTTTCTAATATCTCCTTGGTTTTCGAGGAATGTTTGATCCAGCTTTTTTTATCTCAAGTTGGGAAACACGTGTTTTGAGCAAAATGTTTTCTTCCGCTAATTTGTCATGCTTGATTCCTAAGTCCTCAAGCTTTTGTTTAATTTGTGTTATAGCGCTTGTCTTTTCTTTTACTGTAGTGGAATACTGATTTAATGCTTGCGTAAAAGCTTTAATAGATTCAA